TCACCGGTTGTTCTTTTTGTGATTTTGTTTGTTGCGCGCCGAAACCCCCCTTTAACGCTTTTTGCCCTCCATTGTATTTTGCCCAAAATGCATTCTTTTTATTGTTTTTTGCCCAACAAGTTTTTTTTTGTGTGTATTTTGCCGAAACCTTTACGCTTTTCTCCATTGTATTTTGCCCAAAATTGCCTTCTGTTTCTATTGTTTTTTGCCCAACAGGTTCTTTTTGGTATATATTTTGCCGAAACCTTTACGCTTTTCTCCATTCTATTTTGGCCAAAATGCCTTCTTTTTCTATTGTTTTTTGCCCAACAGGTTTTTTTTTTATGTATTTTGCCGAAACCTTTTCGCTTTTCTCCATTGTATTTTGCCCAAAATTGCCTTCTTTCTCTATTGTTTTTTGCCCAACAGGTTTTTGTATGTATTTTGCCGAAACCTTTTCGCTTTTCTCCATTGTATTTTGCCCAAAATTGGCTTCTTTCTCTATTGTTTTTTGCCCAACAGGTTTTTGTATGTATTTTGCCGAAACCTTTACGCTTTTCTCCATTGCATTTTGTCCAAAATGCCTTCTTTCTCTATTGTTTTTTGCCCAACATGTTTTTTTTTGGTATGTATTTTGCCGAAACTTTACGCTTTTCTCCATTGTATTTTGCCCAAAATGCCTTCTTTCTCTATTGTTTTTTGCCCAACAAGTTTTTTTTTGTATGTATTTTGCCGAAACCTTTATGTTTTCTCCATTGTATTTTGTCCAAAATGCCTTCTTTCTCTATTGTTTTTTGCCCAACATGTTTTTTTTGTATGTATTTTGCCAAAACCTTTATGTTTTCATCATTGTATTTTGCCCAAAATGCCTTCTTTTTCTATTGTTTTTTGCCCAACATGTTTTTTTTTGTTCACGTGTACTGTCACCTTGCCGACCTTTACGCGTTTCTCCATTGTAAGGGGGTGGTCCTCTCAAATCATACGTCGGTCCGGATATCTCTTTTCTATATGTGTCCTTCGCTTAATGGCACTCAGGCTGGTGGCTTCTCTGTTGTATTTTTTTTGCCGAAACCTTTACGGTTTTCTCCAACTCTATTTTGTCCCTAATATGCCTTCGTTTTTCTCGAAGGATCTGTTCTTCTCTGCCGCAGACAATGTTTTTTTTTTTGTATGTTATTCGTAGCACCGGGATCCAACCTTACGTCTTTTCACTCGCCATTGTAACGTGTTTGCCGGCAAATTTGCCTTTCTTTCCAACTATGATGTTTTTTTGTTTGCCCAACATGTTTTTTTTTGTATGTATTTTGCCGAAACCTTTACGCTTTTCTCCATTGTATTTTGCCCAAAATGCCTTCTTTCTCTATTGTTTTTTGCCCAACAGTTTTTTGTCTGTATGTATTTTGCCAAAACCTTTATGTTTTCTCCATTGTATTTTGCCCAAAATGCCTTCTTTCTCTATTGTTTTTTGCCCAACAGGTTTTTTTTGTATGTATTTTGCCGAAACCTTTACGCTTTTCTCCATTGTATTTTGGCCAAAATGCCTTCTTTTTCTATTGTTTTTTGCCCAACAAGTTTTTTGTTGTATGTATTTTGCCGAAACTTTTACGCTTTTCTCCATTGTATTTTGCCCAAAATTGCCTTCTTTCTCTATTGTTTTTTGCCCAACAGGTTTTTTTTTGTATGTATTTTGCCGAAACCTTTACGCTTTTCTCCATTGTATTTTGCCCAGAATGCTTTTTTTGTATGTATTTTGCCGAAACCTCTATGCATTCTCCATTGTATTTTGTCCAGAATGTTTTTTTTTGTATGTATTGCCGAAACCTCTACGCATTCTCCATTGCATTTTGCCCAGAATGCATTTTTTTTGTATGTATTTTGCCGAAACCTCTACGCATTCTCCATTGTATTTTGCCCAGAATGCTTTTTTTTTAAATGTATTTTGCCGAAACCCCTATTCTTTTCTCCATTGCAGGTTGCCTCAAATGCCTTTTTTTCCTTTGTATTTTTTCAAAAAAATAAATTGTTTTCCTGTGAATTTTGCCTAAACTTCTAAGCCTTTCTGCATTGTATCTTACCCCAATTGCAAGTTTTCTCCTTTGTATTTTGCCCAGAATACATTTTTTTTTTGTATGTATTTTGCCGAAACCTTTATGCATTCTCCATTGTATTTTGCCCAATTTTTTTTTTGTATGTATTTTGCCGAAACCTCTACGCATATTGTATTTTGCCCAGAATGCTTTTTTTTTTGTATGTATTTTGCCGAAACCTCCACGCATTCTCCATTGTATTTTGCCCAGAATGCTTTTTTTTTTGTATGTATTTTGCCGAAACCTCTGCGCATTCTCCATTGTATTTTGCCCAGAATGCTTTTTGTTTTATATGCATTTTGCCGAAACCTCTACGCATTCTCCATTGTATTTTGCCCAGAATGCTTTTTTTTGTATGTATTTTGCCGAAACCTCTACTCATTCTCCATTGTATTTTGCCCAGAAATAGTTTTTTTGTATGTATTTTGCCGAAACCTCTACGCATTCTCCATTGTATTTTGCCCAGAATGCTTTTTTTTTGTATGTATTTTGCCGAAACATCTTCGCATTCTCTATTGTATTTTGCCCAGAATGCTTTTTTTTGTATGTATTTTGCCGAAACCTCTACTCATTCTCTATTGTATTTTGCCCAGATTACCTTTTTTTGCCCAGATTACCTATTAAACTTTGTCCAAAACATTCAAACCTTCGAATCCAAGATTTCCTGAATTGCAAGAAGTAGAAGTACATTTCTCAACGCCTGATGCTCCAGGTGTTTTCGGGCCGCTGTCGAAGGGAACCAAATGGCTACATAAATGGCTACATAAATGACTTCAGCAGTTGAGGATTATATTATTATAAAATATATTACTATATATTCAAAAAGCTGTTGAGATTTACATATATAACGTGGTACTACAACTAAGATATATAACGTAGTAATATAAACATAAGAAATGGTATACTATGTCTAAACGTGGTTACACCACCACCTGCCTGAAGTGCATTAGCCCCAATGGACGAAAAAAATCAAACCTCTAACATCACTTTTGCAAACACGCGCGCTGAAACATTGAGATTAGGGGGTGCGGGGGTTCAACATAGTGCGTGCTGCAGGGTTTGAATATTTTGTCCATCTACTGTAGGTCAGTTGCCCACTGGACCGCGGACATGAAGGGCCCATCACCCACAGGTCCCAAATGGGATTACTTGGCCCGTGAGTCAAAATTGGGCCTTTTAAGCCAACCATTTGAGCCACGTGGCGTGTTAAAATGAAACAAGAATGGAAACAATATGCATCATGATGAAATCCTGGCAAAGCATTGTGACTTCTCAATCATTCTGACAGCCTCTTAGAGACACAAACCCCTGCTTCCTGATGGAAACAGACCTTTCTGCCCATCTTTCAATGAACATCAACTCTTCCAATAAGCAAACATATGGTCATTCTTCTACGACTTCTAAGCTTCGCAAATATGTTTAGCCAAAGGGCTCGACCGTGGCCCGCATCCACAAGAATTGATGACGGGCGGTGGTCGGTCTGATGGAGGTGCCCTGCCACAACATTTCCACAGGACATGACGGGTTTGGATTTTCTGTTTCTGGGCCAGTGGATATTTGGATTTCCTGGAACCCTCCATTGGCAATTTTTGCAAAAACCATCTGGTACAAGATGGTACAAGGGTACGAACCGCCATAGTTCTGCTAGTGCAGGTCCTATGTAGTTCAAATTCCTGGAATTGTCGGCCAACTCCTCACGAGCATCTGATGGTTACCGACTTCAAACCTGGAAAAACATCAAAATTCTTCTCATATGTTCAAATCATGGTAACATGCACTCGGGTAATCCATTTCAAAATCATTCTCCATCGATTCCACAAAGGCGAAACATCGCGGCCGTCAGGCCACCCAGGCCTTTGGCGACTGGTCGAAGCATGTCGAACCTTGAGGCTGTGAGATTGCTATGGTGGACCATGCTGGGCTCAAAAAAGGACGAATCTGAAGATTGAATGATAAGAAGTGAAAGGAAGTGATAGGAAGTGATGGGAATTGGGTAGCGATCTGGGGTGAACAAAATTCCGCCGATGATTTATGATGATTTGACTTCATGATGCCCATCAATGACAGTCAAACTGATCAATCCTGAACATGATCCAACAATCGATGTGTCATCTTGAAAAACCATTGTGCTGAAAAACCTGCACGACATCTGGAAAATGTCATCGCCGAAAGTGTTGGCTTATCTGGAAATACGTAGCCTTTTATTTCTATGATTATGATGGTTATTCCTAAACTTTCGCTTTGCACAAAATAAGAACAACCAATCTTGGGCACCTCAGCCCCAAGCATCCACTCCCAAACACACGTTGGATAGACCAGCTACTTGGCGGCACCAAGGGGAATCCCGGGTTGCCAGGAAGCCATGTCCTGGGACCAGGCTCCCATGGTCACGACACAAATTTGGAAATCCTTTGGAAATCGTTGAGCAATTGGCTCCTCATCTTCCACCTTCACGGTGAAGAATACGGCCTTCTGCTGCTCGCATTGACCTCCAAAAGCACATCGAATTGATCTACCTGTGACATCCTGTGACTGCGACCTTCATTGATGCTACGCTGTGTGAGGACCTTCTGCATATGGTGATCAAACTCAACAAAGCCGTTTCTGAGATTGCAAATCATAGAATTGCAGCATGAAATGACCTGTAATCACCTGTAGCAAGTCAATGAGCGAACCATTTTTGAACCACAGCTGAGTTTGAACCGTGAATCAACTGAAGTAATGTCACGCCGGCAGCTGATGGCAGCTGGCGTTGCCTGGCTTCAAATCTCGCGCTGGAACCACCAGGTTGCATCCTGAGAGATCGGGCTTGGTGTTATGGGAGGTTTGAACCGTGGCACGTTGCAGTTCACCATGAATCTTCGGTTTGACCAAATTCCAAACTTCAGACTGCTTATTGGGCTTATTGTTTCAACGTGCAAGAATGCTTCCTGCCTGAGTGCCAATCCGAATTTCCAAATATGGCGTGGTGAAAACAAACAAACAACGCAGGAATGGTTGGCGACACCAGTGCCACTGTGAGGGCCATAAACTCTGTTTTGGTGACCTGGTCCGGGCCCTGCATGGTCGAATCACTCAAACTGATTGTGAACAACGCGGAACCGCTATGACAAATACGATGCATATACGACAAATATGAAAAACATTGGATTTTTGGAGTGCTTTGGCCACAGAACCATTCGATCGGCCAGTGCAATTGGTAGCCTTACCAATATCAAACCTTTCACCTTCAACTGATACCTCTCACCGGCAAATGGTGATTAGAATGCAGTGCTCACTCTAGCACGGACGCATCATCGGTTTTCCGCTATGCGTGAATGTCCCTCCCTTGAGGCAATGGCGACGGCACATGAATGAGTCAGGAAGTGCCCACAATTATGTCATGTCATGGGATACATGCTGCAATGGTAACGTGATTCTCTCATCACCCATATTCCTGGGCTCTTCCTGCATCACCCATGGCCATCTACAGAGCTCGGCCATTTTGGCCACTTCCTCCACGAACAGCGTTTCCTGTTCTCTTATCTTTCTGAGCATCTCTTGTTTCTTCATCTTGCGACCAGATGTGAACTTAGGGTCGTATACCAGTCGCCATCGTTGGCCTGAACTGAGTAACTGCAGTATCACCTTTCGGTCGTTTCTCTTCGTCAGGCTATCAGCGATTTGGGCAAGACCATTGACCCATCGCATTTCAGTCTGAACTTGTAGAGCTTGGCAAACTGACAATGTAAGCTCGTAGCCTGCACGGGTGCTTCGCAGACCATGGAGAGCACTGACGCTTCTGGTCATTGCGTCAAATACTCCACGGCTATCCATCACGATAGCACCAGCTGTGAGCTCCTTGATCTTCTGGTACAAGTCATTCTTGTCAGCGAAACGATAACCAAAAAGTTCTGCAAGCATCGCTCTCACCCTGAAAGTTACATCTTCGCCCTCTGTGATTCCTTGGACTTCAGCTCCATTCGATCCAAGGCATTGGCGAGGTGTCTTTGAGGATTTCCATGTGACAATTGCTATCTCGCACTCATCACCTTCCAGCAAAGCTCGTGGTGCAACTCCAGTTGCCAATCCATATGTCGATGACTTGTCTGGACGGTTGTGTTGTGAAGCATCGCACCATGTAACCACCGCTAAGTCTTTCAGACCGAGCTTCCATGCAGGGAAGCGCAAAGATTGTTGAGCATCTCGTTTGACCTCCCTCACCAGCTTGTTTGCACGCTGCAAAGTGTCTATTGTTGCGTACTTCACCTCCGATAGCAACAAACTGACGTCTGCTTGATATTGGGGGCCCGTCTGTGATGCTTTCCATGCTAGCGTTCCCAGAATGCCACGAAGTTGAGAAATCTCCTCGTTGGTCAAAGGAAGGTTCTTCTTGTCTGCACGCTGTCGATCAATGACACACTCTTCAAGCCACTTGTCGACATACGATTTCTGATTGATGGAAATGCTCATGTCAGAGTGCTGTTTGATGTCGCACCCTGCGAATGTGAAATCACCTTGCTGCCACTTGCCCCAGCGGTATGCCGCTTTCAGCTTCTTTTCTGCTTCCAGGAAATGTTCACATGAGCGGTCTCCTCCTATCAGAAAATCATCTACATGCAAACCCGCAACGCCTACAATTCTGCCTGCATCAGGTGCATCAGGTGGAGCATGTAAAACAAAAACACATCGATCTGATAAAAGCCTCATCCAACCGTGTGCTTCCATTGTGCTAGCCACATGATCAAACCACTTTCTCGGCGCATGCACCAAACCATAAAATGCCTTGCAAATCTTGAGGATCTTCATAGGATTGTCAGGGCAAGCGCCAAACAAAACTGCCAGCTCAGCAGGTGCCCAAACATAGAGGTCCTCGCCTTCAAGTGATTGTGCTGCTTGAAGGAATGCTGCAGAGACATCTCCTGCGGACAGTAGGAAGTTCAGGGTAGCGCAGATTGTCAGGATCAAGTTGCGAGAGATCCTTGACATGGTTGGTGCTGACGCCTGCACAGATGTCAAGTTGTGCTGCTGGTAGCCCAGCACGACCAGGCGCGCTTTGGGAGTGCCATCTCCCTTCAAAGTCATCACCCAGCGCATGGCCATCACTTGACTGCGGTCAACTTTCAATTCTTCTTGGGCTGTCAAACTTCGAACTGCCTTCGATGCCATCACTTGAGATAGCTCACGGCACTGAGCTTCATCAAATTCTTTCTTTTGGGATAGTGGCATCTGGCTCCATCTCAGTTCTTTGCCCTTGTTCTCCATCTTCTTTGATAGCCAAGCGGTTGCTCGCTTGGGATGCTCAGAAAGATAGTCCAACTCCGCCTCTTCCAAGGGAATCTCCAGGACATAGTACTGGCTTTCGGTGCCAATGTTTCGGGCCTTCTTGGTGGCAGGTCCATCTGGGATCAGCTCGTCAGCTTCATCAGAGCTGCTGCTGTCGGTCTCTGGTTCCACATTGACTCTTCCGCCATAGGGTTCCCATGAGAACTTCTTGCCCTCGGAATCTTCGTGGGGGCCATGATGTCCGCCTGGAAGGTCACAGTCTCGCACAACGCATCTATTCACTCCATCCCCAAGAGGAGGTTGTTCTCTTTGAGCTGGAACTCCATCCACAGCTGCTGCGCCACGGTCTCGTAGCGCTGTTGTAAGGGGATGCAAATCAGGAACTTCAGGCAAAAGCTGGCCGATGTTCGCATCGGTTTGTTCCCCTTCAGGAACAGTCAGCGCCTGCTCACCAGCGTCTTGTCCACTGGCTTGTTGTTGATGTTGTGAAACATTTGATGGCTGTGAGGATGATGCATCACGCTTCCTCACTGGCTTCTCCTTCGGAGTCAGCCTAGCCTTCTTCACTTCGGGCTTGATCTCAAAACGAGTCTCACCCTTCCATCGATCTTGTAGTTGACGATGAGGAGCATCTGTGGTGGTGAAGTCATCTTCAATGGTCACTAGCTGTGATCCAGGTGTCATTGACTTCACAATGGTGATTCTTTTGCCTGTCAGCTTGTCCTCAGAGATTGGACTGGTTTGCGTCCTCGTTGGTGTAAACAAGGTCAGACGCGGTAGAGTGTGCACTCTGACCAGCCACTTTTGTTGCCCATCTTCTTCAAACTTCCAAGTGTCAGGACGATGATCATCATCAGGCAAAAGTGCAACTTCTGCTCCTTGAACGTCATCTTGTCGCTGTCTTTCTGACGGCACATCTCCGGTGGCATTCACGTAGTGCTTGCCAGTGAAGCTTTTCATGAGAGAGTCAATGGTAGTCGGTGTTGAAAGAACGGCTGTTCCTTCCATCATGGAGTCCAGCGTCTCCTGCTTGGTGCACCTTCGGACTTGTGTAGTCCGAGCACGGATCAATGTTGATCCTGTCGCAAGCCAAAGGGTGTTGCCCTCTTGTAGTAAAAGACGTACTGGTCCTACCCAAGTGCCACTGACTTTTCCTGGCTTGTTCTTTTGTCTCCAAAGCATGACCAGGTCGCCGGCTTTGAAGCTCTGAGGTGGTCTGCCGGCACTGTTGTTCAGCTTTGACAATCTATCCTTTGCAGACTCCATCTCGTATGCAACCTTGGCCTTTTCCTTCAGCCGCAGAAGTCCACCAAACATCTTCTTCGGGTTCTGCCCTGCCAGGGGCTCGTCGCGGTCAGCGCCGCCACGAAGCCACTGGAAAGGTGAATATCCCGATGGCCCAATGGCCTCATTGTGTCCATGTGCTGCAAGCTGAAAGATGTTCTCCATGGCCAAGTCTGGTTCTTCTTTGAGAAGACGCACTGCCGTTTCTTTCAAAACTCTAATGCATCCTTCTTCGGCTCCAAGCATCTCATGCGCCTCAGCTGGCGTCGTAAGGACGCCCACTCCACTGTTGCCATAGAACTCGAGGATCTGGTTGGATGTGAAGTATGTTGCGCTGTCTGTGATAACCCACTGTGGTTTGGGATTCACCATCAGCCACTTGCAAAAGGCTGCAATGATGTTGTCAGTTGTTGGTTCCCAGTTGCCAGTGTAGGTTTGGAGAAATTCCAACATCACATAGCCTGAGGCCCTGTCACGCATCAAAAGAAACTTATGTTTGAAGCCTGCATGATCGACCTCAAAGCAGTCCATACCCAGAATCTGGAACAGAGTTGGAGTTTCTCCCAAGCTTGCCACGGGTGCTGGTCGTGCACGTTTGGCTTCTATGCATGATGGACACTGGAGCTTGCCTGCCAATTCAATTGCCCACTTCGGAGCCTTGCGAACTGTCAACAACTTCTGAAGTCTTGAGAAGGGTGCGTGCCCAGAAGCTCGATGGATCCGCATCATCTGTTGACGGATCAGTTCAAGCTTCCTGCCAGTTGGAGCTTGCTCAGGGAATCGATTCCTTGTGAGAGCAAAGATTTCTGGGCTCTCATCACGAACTCCTTGGCAGGGGGTGACCTCCTCGTTATTCACATCAGCGTCCTTGATGTCCAGCAAGTAGTTGTTGACGTCATCCGCAATGCTGATGTTGCGTTCCTCCTCAGGGGCTTGCCAATGGCCTACAATGGCTTTGACAACCGCAGTGACCATCTTGGCAGGGTAATATGCAGAAAATTGCGCAACTGGCCCTCTACACTCGCAGTGCTGTTGGTGGCCAGGACATCTATGATGTAGGCTCAACCACAAGCTCTTGCATGTGGTGAGGATCAACCAACCCTTTCTCACTGGTAGGTTTTGATACTTCAGTCCATAGGTGCAACCATCAAAACGACACCAGTATGCAACCCTGTTGTGCTTCTTGAACAGCTTCAGCAAACGTGAGATGGCAAATGACTTCCAACCTGTTGATGCTGAAGCCGGCCACTCCCACGCTATATCTCCTCCATCACGCAAGATTGGTTCACATCCATCTGCCACTTCCGAAGCTCGCTTGAGATCTTGACGTTGTCTCTTCTGAAAGTTTGCCCATTCAGCTTCCGATCTGGGGGTCAAATTGACCAATGAGGTGAGTCGGGTGCAAGGCAAACTGACCCAACCAAAACGTGGTGGATGGAGAGCTATTTCATGCTGAAGCATCTTCGTGCCTCGAGAACTGGAGAGGTCGTAGCCCTCAAGGTAGTTGGCGCGCTTGATGTTGTAGCCCATGCTTGCCATCTCATGTGACAAGGACGAGTTTGCAGAGCACGCAATCTCCAGGAAATCAGGTCGGTCTTGGATCTGTCCAAAAAGTCCAAGAACAGGTCCAAGTAGCATAAGGCCCAACATGGCCGCATTCTTTGCCAACTTCTTTGCCAAGTTCGGCGCAACCAAGTTCTTGTCAGACGTCATGTTGACTGGGGCATTGGCAAAACTGCCGTGTGAAGGTGCCTGAATCTTCATGCCATGCTTGTCCACAAAAGTTGAAGGCACCTCAGTTTCCATAGACCCTTCAAATGAATGTTTCTCCGCCAGCACGCGCTCATCTGTCGTGGTGGCCAAGTCCATGTTGAGGTCTTTCGAATTTGGGTGCTGTTCCCCGACAGCCTCATAGTTTTGCCCACTGTCAACCTTCTCGCCATCAGTCATGTTGTTGGTGTACTGTTCACCCACAGTCTCATAGGTTCCATGTTGCCCATTCAATTTGCCCTGAAGCTCGGACAACTTCTGCTTCAGGATCTTCAGATGGCTCACCCTTGTGCTTCCGGTGGCGCAGAGGAAGACACGCTCACCGCATCCTCCGCCATGCTCCACTCTCGCATGTGCGTGTCCTGAACTGCCATCTCCGTCTCCTTCTCCGTCGATGGCTTCTTCTCGATCTTCAGATGGCCGCGTGTGGATGCCATGGATTCCGCCGCTTTCTCCACCAACTCCACAGCTTCTTTGGAAGCCTGTCCCATCGCCGTCTCCTTCAGCTTCTGGACCAGCTCCTTTGTAGCCGCCTCCTTCATCTCTGGTGTCAGGCTGGTCTTGGCTGCTCTCGATGGTGACTTGTTGCGCTCTGGAATCTCCATGTTCATCCTCTTGAGGTACTCGCGGTACGTCATGTTGATGGCCATTGTGTTGGTGACGCCATACTGAAGCATCTTGCCCTGTGCCTCCATCAGTCTGCCGTTCACGATCTTCTCGTTGCATTGGTCCGGACTGGTAGTTTTCTCCAGACTTTCCATCACTGACCTGATGGTATGTGGCACTGGGCCCATGTGTCGGTGATCCCCGCTGTACCCCTTCTTGGCCTTGTAACTCAGTCGAAGGCCGCATTTGGTGCATGTCTGCCAGGAGGCGTACTGGTTGTTGCGCTCCTTCGGGTGGTGACTGGTCCAGCAGGGATATCCTTCTCTGCGAGGATCGTCTTGGGCACATGGTTCCATCTTCAGCTGGTTGTTGCCCTCTAAGCTGGTGAAGCCTTTGAGCCAACAGCTGAAGTCGATCAGGGAGTGAGGATGTACTCTTGCAGGAAGTGCTCATGACGTAGAGTGGCAAGAAAACTTCACCGCATGAAACTTCTGAAACATTTTCACATGTTGATGCCGTAGAAGATGAAAATGTGGGAAGTGATTGAATCATGAAATTGTCATTTTCCATCATGAGTGCATTCTCACGCAGGTCCAGTGTCATGTGCCATGTTGGAAGGATCTCGATGGGAACTGCAAAAATACTGTTCTCCGTGCCATCCCAAGGTCCAGCCTCGAAAATGAGTGTAGAGTTGGCATAGGAAATATGGGCTCGTTGATGGAAAAGCACCTTGGATCCGAGCAGAGGTGGTGTATCCTGAGCTGTTCCACCCAAAACGTAAAACGAAACCTGGCCAATAGCGGTTCCTTCAATGTCAACTCTGCTCAGGGCTTGCATCTTCAAACCGTTCCCAAAACGAAAAATTGGCCTATCATCCACATGAACACTGTATGCAAATTGACCATAATGTAACAGCTTCTGAAGTGATGCGGAGCCGACTGCGCTCTCTGAGGCCCCGGTGTCAATCACAACCCTGGTGTAGCTGTTACGAGCTTTCGCATCTTCATTCCACATCACAGTCAAAGTGCAAACATCTGCGTAAAAATTCTTCCCTTTCACTTTTGACTTCCCCTTGCCTTTTCCTTTGCTCTTGCCTTTGGATGCAAATCCCTTGCCTGCACCTTTTCCAGGACTGAAACGATCTGGGCACTGAGCTATGGTGTGACCCTTCATGCCGCATCGAAAACAAGGCCCAGACATCTTGCCTTTTCCAGATGACTTGTTTCCAAAACCCTTGCCTAGCATTCGTGAAGCCGTTGATGAAGAAATGCCTTTGCCAGAGCTAGCTTCAGGAGAGTAGTAGCCTCTGGCGGCTCTCACCTTCTTCACTGCCTCACGCGCCTCTTGCAAAGTCCTTGAAGCTTCGTTTGCCAGAGCATAGGCCTCTCGAAACTGAACTTCGTCTGGATCTTCGGCTGTCTCGTCAGGGACAACCTCATCCTCCTCCTCGTTCCAGTATGCAGCATTCTCGTCGTCGTCGTTCCAAGCCCAGTCCTCGTCATTCCAGTAAGTGTCATTGGGCTCATAGTACCAGGAACCGTCAGCATCAGGCCACTCATTGTCGCCTGCATCATCGTCCCAGTTATCTGCATCGTTCCACAAAGCGCTCTTTGCAAACCTTTTGTAACTTGTAGGCCGTCCCATGGCCTCATCTTCAGCGAACAATGCACGCAACGCTCGCTTGATGATCTCGAAGTCGGTCATGTTGTTTGTCTGAGTCAGGATGTTTTGACGTTCCTGACGTGTTAGATGAGCTGCCTTCAGAAGCCTGTAACCTCGCAATTCATTTGACCAGAAATCAGTTGTATCCAGAGATGTTGCAACACGAGCACCGGAAACACCCGCTGCTGCACCTGCCGTCTCTGCCACGCCTGAACCAGTCGATTGCTGCTGTGCAGTAACCCCTGAATGCCAGTTACGACGTAGATTCAAAGGACTTCCAACACTGCCCATACCTGTAGGAGAGGGATCCATGGCTCGTGGAACCTCCGGAATGGCCTGTGGCCTTGGTCCACGATCCGATCTCGCTCTCACCAACGCATTCTGCATCTGCAACCACAAGTCTTCTTCTCGGACAAGTAGCTCTGCTATGCTTTCATGCTCCTTGCGTCTCAACGCATGCCACTTCTCTAAACGACTGAAGGAGTCAGGAATGGGTAGTGCTTGGAGAGGTGATGTCCTAAGAACTTGTAACAGCTTTGACAACCCATCATCTCCAGAAAATTCATCCGGATCTAAATGCTTCACAACCGACTTGGCCGCACCTTGCAATCTGCTCCAAACTCTTGCCGCTGACTGACGCCTTTCAGAATCTTTCCAACCACGTTCGTACCACTTGCAGGAAACCTCAAAGGTTTCAAATTCCGCAGGATCCCCTGACCAGGTAGGTATATGGCTAAAGTCTTCGCCAGGCATCTCAATCAGCAAGATCAGGCAGCAAATGCACAGTGCGGAGCCCGTCCCTGGAATCGCGCCAGGAAAGAGCTCCCGCTACCATGCAATTGGTAGCCTTACCAATATCAAACCTTTCACCTTCAACTGATACCTCTCACCGGCAAATGGTGATTAGAATGCAGTGCTCACTCTAGCACGGACGCATCATCGGTTTTCCGCTATGCGTGAATGTCCCTCCCTTGAGGCAATGGCGACGGCACATGAATGAGTCAGGAAGTGCCCACAATTATGTCATGTCATGGGATACATGCTGCAATGGTAACGTGATTCTCTCAGCCAGAAAGTTACCTTTCACATCTTGCGAACATCTTGAACTCTTTGAATCTGGGGCTCCCAGCAACTCCCAAATGCAACGTCAGGGATGCCTGCATCACTTCACAACACTGGCCACATACTGATCTGAAATGAAGCCACTTCAAACATTTTCAAACCAGTTCACATGTGAAGATCTATCTCTTCTTCAACCATCAAGTTTTTGACCAGGGAAAGGGGGACCCAGCCTGCAGAGCGTGTTGACTAACCTGAGCTGCACACTTTCAGAGCGAGAGAAGTTCATGGTCCCAGTCGCTATTTTATTCGCGATTCTCCTCTCAGCTTTCTGGCTTTCTGGCGGACTATAGGGAAAACTTACTGTAGGATACTGTAGGGGTGTTGAACTTGAGCAACGCCCACGATCCCACGATCGTATCGCCCAGGTGCTGCTTCCACCAATCCAGGGCGTTTTGCCAGGAAATCACATCCCATCACCATCAGCTCCTGGTGTGAATCATGGGAGATCATGGGAGATTGGGAAAAAGTGCTGGATCTACAATGATAATCAATGATAATCAATGATAATCCACAACATATCCAGCATTCTGGGATGCTTTCAATGCTTTCCACAAGGTTTAGTTTGTTTAGTTGTGAAGCCCTTGTTGGTGGAACTGCCTGGTAGAAGGATTGTCTCTTCCATCCTTTCCTGAATGATCTAAGGCCGATGAGTTTTGTCCACCATGTGGAGCGAGCTTTGACCATAAACCGAGGAACAACAGACTATCAAGCTCACATTCCTGGAATTTGCATGGAACAGTAGAAGCCTATGAAAATGACAGTTGTCACTATTTGGCTATGGATCAATACCTATACATACCATTTTTAGGGGGATGAACATCTATTTACCAGCTATTTTGATGTCCAGGGGGATAGGGTTTTGACCCATCCCCATTTGATACCCTGCCTCAACAGTTTTTTTTAATGGCCAGTCTTGGCTCCAGGATGCTCCAACCATCACAACCCTTTGGCCCATGGATCCCAGCCTGGCGGAGCCACAGTTGCTCCAGTTGAGAACCTCCGGCATTTTTCATGTTTTTGTGGATTGAACCACTATTTAATCACCACATGATGCTGCCTGTTTGACACTTCAATAGATTCAATAACACTAGAAAACTGGCTGTTTTCAACTGACAACAAGAAATTCTTCCGGCGTAGCCACTGAGGCGCATGCGAAGCAGCAAATAGTCCTCCACAGGTTCCATCAATGATCCTGCGAACACGGGGAACATCACTGGAAACCAATACCTTGTTGGTTGTTTACAGCATGGTCACCGTTTCATGTCGGCCAATTTTGAAAGGGGATCACTTTGAACCGCTACAAATCCATGGACACAATTCTGAAGCCTTATGGTGTATGTTTTTTCCCGGATCGGCAATCCTCCACAGCCCAGCAAAAGAATCTGAGGCTGAACCTGCACGTGGGGACGGAGAACTCAAAGCAGGGACATATCCAAAGCCAATCATACCCCAATCTAATGTCCATTTGAACAAAACCAGACTCAACCGTTGCACCTGGAACCGTTCCGCGTGCCATTTAAAGGGATTACATGTTCCCAAGTTCAAAAGAAATTCGATTTCCAATAATGATGCGTGCAACTTGAGGAAATCACTCCACCATACTCCACCATTTCCAAAAATTGTCCTCAGCAACGGCAATCAGATCTCGGCGCCTCTTCCACTTCTGGAAGGTCATTGAGTGGCACCAAGCCTCGTGAAGTTAAAACCGCACCACAATTTCTCAAGGTAAAATCGTAGGGAACACATACACAGAAAGAAGGAATCTTTGCAATTTACGTGGATGGGAATTT